AATAAAAAAGCTGTCACACCTAGTAGTTCTATGCCTGTCACACTGCCAGTTTTGTACCTGTCTAACCTTTAATTTCTGTTTCCAAATTTTTTAAATATATAATACAATAAAATATAATAAACAAGACACTAAGTTAGAAGGCAGTGTCAATTGTACATATAATCATTTAGGTGCTTCAAAACAGAAGGGCTGTTAACCGTACAATATTCTCTGAGTTTTGTATTATACAATTCTTTGAAGAACCATCCCGGTGCAGGGTATACCCTAGTGGGGCCATAAAATGCCATAAGATCAGCATGTCAGATATAACTGAGTTCACCTATGTACTCTGTTTCTTCCAACCCAGGGTGGCCTTCGTTTAATCAGATCTCCTCCAGGTAAATCATAGAAGCTGAGTAGAAAAGAAAGGGATGGAGTAAAGATAAGAAAAACAAAGGAAAAAGAAATTAGCAGTGGTTAGCCCCCCAACTGCCCCTCTAGGTTACAGGACATATTTAGGTGGCTGTACCCATCAAATATTTTATCCAGGACTTTTCAAATAAAGGCATCTTGTCCTGTAGATTTGCAGTAAGGCAGTCATTGATCATGATCCAGGACATTTTGGCCTTCAGGAGGTCAAAAGGTATTGTAGGGGATTTCCATGATCTCGCTATGCAGATTCTTGCTGTGTGTGTGTGGCCCTCGGAGCTCCTTCCACTGTGCTGCCTAAAAACGCTTGGTGTGGAGACTTGGTCAGGTTTACACTGGGGAGCAAATAAAGGAAGTTATAGGTAACGATCTAGAATCTTCTAACTTTCAGGCATGTTCACCAAACATGATAAACCATGCCCTCCTGACCACAACCCCTGAAACAAAGGAAGGAAGCTACCAGACCACCCTATCTGGGACCAAATACCGCCATAAAACACTTTGTAGTTAGCTTCAATTATTGATTATCGATGTGGATGGATACTGTGCCTGCTTATGCCATTCTGCCAGGTCCAGGGGTCCCCCGTGTCCCTCTCCCATCTTTCCATATAGGAAAACTTAGTCTCATTAGAGGACAACATGACATAGATTTTGGAGATATGACCAAGTGTTTGTCAATGCCCCTACATATATATTCCATAGGCATTGTAGTGGAGAGGTCTGACTTTCTCCTCAAGGATCATATGAAGTGTGCAGTCTGAGCATAGCAGTATTGTTCTGATTGAGGTAAGTCGTATTTTTCTCATAGGAGTTGCAATGACAAAACCCCTGACCCTTCGCTATGCGCAGGAGACTCTTGTTGGTCCACCACTGGAAATTCTGGGGTGTTAGACCAGGGATGAATTCCAGATTCTCCAGCAATGGAGCCAGAGGAGTATGGGCAGATCTGAATTTGTGTTTTGTGGCTAATCTGTTTCATAAGCACATGGAGAAGGATAGTGTGGGGCAAAGTATTGTGGGCCTGTTCCTGGCCTGCATCCACAATAGGTGACTGACTGGTCTCATGGGTGTGATAGATGATTCTATGTGCATCCATGTAGGGCGGCTCTGCTGGGTATGGAAACTAAGTAGCGGAGCTAGTTGGTCCACCTGATAATATTTATCCCCTCAATCTGGGAGCATATAGCGTAATTATATTCACCCTATATCTTTTGTCATCCCAGATATATGTCATCAATTTTTGTTGATGTCTTAAGATCTAGTAGGTTTATGGACACTGGTAGGGTTTGAGAGAGGTAACGGAAATGTGGCAAGAGCGAGTGCAGCCTAGCAAACCAGGAGAGGGTTCTGAGTCCACCTGGTCAAATCTTCAGTACATTTTTTATAAAGTGGTGGGTAGTTCTTTTGGTATAGGGTTTGTAGAGTAGGGGTCAGGTTAATGCCTAAATATGGGAGGGCATTGAATTGCCATTTAAATGGAAAAGAGTTTTTAAGGGCCTGGACCTTGGAATGTTCTAATGAAATATTCATAGCTTGTGACTTGTTATGGTTTACCTTTAGGCCCGATATGGAGGAGAGGAGCTGCAGGCCTGCATAAAGGTTAGGGATAGATGTGATTGGGTAGGAGAGAATCAGCAAGTTATTGTCCGCAAACAATGCATACAGTATTTGTGGACACCGCAGGGTATCCCCTGGATGTCAGAGTTGCTCCTGAGTTTGATTGCCAGAGGCTCAAGTGCTAAATTAATTAATAATATAGGAGACAAAGGGCATCCCTGTCGAGTGCCTCGTCAAGTATATATTCGTGGAGAGCCATATCCCTTCACAAGAAGATTGTTTGTGGGTCTATGGCAAAGCATCTGCAACAGGGTCAAAAAATGCGACCCAAAGCAATATTTGCAAAGAGTGAGGAAGATATTCCAAGGAAAGGGAGTCAAAGGCTTTATGTCTAGAGATAAGGATAAGAACATGCCTCATCTTTGGCCCTGTTTGTCCCAGTCTGAATGTATCACCAAGATGATGTTAATTAGGCACCGCTTTTGGCCCAAGGCCTGTCGTAGAGGGATGAAGCCAACCTGGTTGGGGTGTATACATTTGCTATTTGCTTAGGAAATTGTTTAATCTGACCATTATTTTCTTCATGATTTTATGGTCAACATATAAAAGTGAAATGGGTGGTAGTTGGCTCAGTCCCCATGATCTTTACCTGGCTTGGGAAGAAAATAAATAGTCGCATCATTTTCCCAAAACGCATTGTAGAATAAGCATAAATTAGACGTTATGGTCCAAATATATTTTTTGTAATTGTGGCCTGAGAAGCTGTCAGGCCCTGGCACTTTAGAAGGTTTAATCACTGCAGTGACCTCATTACCTGTGAATTCAGCCTCCATTGTATCCATATCAGCCCGCGTCAAGCGAAGTAGTTGGAGGTCGCTCCGACAAGTGTGTGGGGAGTGGGTCTGGAGGTGAATATAGTTTTGTATAGAAATTAAAGAATTCCCAAATTATTAATTGCAGGTTTTGGGTAGGGACCCCGTTGTGAGTTCGAAGTTTCAGCAGGTCTGGGTTAAATGGTCTGGGAACAAGTTTTTCGGCAAATAAAGTGTTGGGCTTATCACCCATCCTATAGTACTTATGCCTGGACCAACAAATGTATTTTCCAGCACTCATCGTGAGGCTGAGGTTAAGTGCCAGATGAGCCGAATCAATTTGATTTCTGAGGATTCTGCTTTTGTGTTTTCAATAAATTCTGCAGTTCTCTCTCCTGCTGTGTAATGGTGGATTCTCTGACTTTCTTAGCCCTGCAGGCCAGCTTGCCTCTAATAGTCGCCTTGTGGGCTGTTCAGGTTACTGTGGGGCAAATGTCCAGGGATACATTATCGCGGAAATAAAGTCTAATTTCCTTTTCTAATTCTCTGAATGTCACCAGGTCATTAAGCACAGAGACATTAAGCCATCATGCTGGGGGTTGAGGTTTAGACCAGAGATCAGGGACATACATCTCTACCAGGGAGTGGTCGGACCAGGGGGTCACACGAACCTTTGCCCCAGTCACAAATGGTAACAAAGAAAGAGTGTCAATATGGTCTATTCTTGAGAATGTGTTGTGGACATGGGAGAAGAAAGTGTAATCCATCGTTGTTGGGTTATGGTCTCTCCAAACAATTATTAAGTCATAAAGTACACTAACTTCACAAGGGAGCAGCCCTGCTTCTGAATGGGTTTATAGAATGCCCTGTGGGGGTTTGATTTGTGAAGAATTTGGTCAAGTAAAGTGTTACTGTCTCATCACTTGATCACTGTGCGAGGCATCAGTATATCAAACATGGTTCGGAAGAAGGCTGCTTAGCCAGTATTGGGGGTGTAATAAGGTATAAGCGTAACAGCAAGATAATTTATTCTCCCCACCGCCATGATATACCTGCTCTCTTTATCTTTTATGACCTCTCAATTGGTAAATGGGACCTTCTAGGCAAATCGCCACTCCTCACATATGAACTATTGGCGAGGTATTAGGTATTTGGCGTGGAGATATTCTGCAGCCGAGGATCTGGAAAAATGTGTTTCTTGGAGGAGAAGTATATCTCCCCCTATTTTATGGTAATAATGGAAAGCTTTAGTTCATTTGAGAGGGGAGTTAAAGTCCTGTACGTTATGTGTAATAATTGTGTACTGGGATGCGGGTGGAGTCGTCATGGTAAGGCCAGTATCTGCACTTAAGACAGAGCCTCTGAATTGATTCCCTTCTCTGGCATACAACCTGTCCAGGGGCAGTTGTGTGGGGGGTTAGCCAAGTGGAGAGAAAACTAAGAATGCAGAATAGATAAAGAGTTAAGAAGAACACAAAAACAAACCACTGAACAAAACATTTAAAGAGTAAATGCCCAAAGTTTAAACCAACAAGTAACTTTTGGCCAACCGAAGTTGGAAAGAGTTATCACTTTTCCCTTGTTTGTAAAAGACAGTGATAGTTTTGGTAGCTTTTGACATGGTAAAATATGACACATTGCTGCATTTTAACCAATGATTTACAGTACAGTGTAGCTTACCAGAATAATAACATTATTGTATAGGTATAGACTACAACATATTCCCTCACCACTGATCCATGACCCTCCCACCCTTATTTGGGATGAGGGTGCAGAGCTGCAAATTGTGTTAAGATGTACCCAGTCCTTGTCTGCCAGAAAGGAACAGGTTGTCTATTTCACTGTTTGCCAAAAATGGGTATAAAATAAAACACAACAGGGGTTAGCAAATATTGTAGCTACTCACAATTAATAGCTTGATTAAAATTGATAAAAATGCTAACTGTTGTGTAGGTGTGTTTTGTGTATATATATACATATATATATATATATACACACACACACAAAACACACCTATAGTGCTCAGCATAAATGAGTACACCCCTTTTGAAAAGTGAGATTTTAATCAATATCTCAATGATCACAAGAACAAGTTTTATATAACATATGTTTAGCTCATTACATGAAAGTAGGTTAAATAAATAGCTTAGATTACAAAATCTTCAGTTTTACTCAAATTAGTTGATGCAAAAATGAATATACCCTACCATAAAAACTACTACACTGCAACAGTGGCCTTAGATGTATGTTTTGGATCATTGACATGTTGGGAAAGTGCAGGACAACCAAGGGCACGGAGTGATGGTAGCATCTTCTCTTTCAATATAGAGCAGTACATCTGTGGAATCATGATACTATTAATGAAATGCCACTCCCCCACACTCATGCAGCCCACAGAAGAACACTGCCCACCACCATGTTTCACTGAAGGCGCCATGCATTTTTATTTGTACTCTTAACCTTTGCGATGCCATACAGTTTTGAAGCCATCCGTTTCAAAAACATTTATCTTGGTCTCATCACTCCAGAGTACAGAGTCCCAGTAGTCCTCTTCTTTTTCAGTATGAGCCCCGGCAAATTCTAGGTGGGCTTTTTTCGTGCATGCTTTAGGAGAGATTTCCTTCGTGAACTACACCCATGCATGTTTTTCCTCTGCAGTGTACACCGTATTGTGTCAAAGGAACCAATGACCCCAGTTTGGCTTTCTACTTCTTTAGCTAATTGCAATTAACTTGGATGGTGATTTTCTTCAACCCTTCTCTTCAAAAGACGCTCCTGTTGAGGTGTTAACTTCCATGGACAGCTTGGTCATCTCTGTGAGATGGTTGCACTTCCATCTTTGTTAAATTTCTGTATCACTTTTGTTACAGTATTCTGATTGATAAGTAAAGCTTTTCTGATCTTCTTGTAGCCTTCACCTTTCTTTTGTAATGAAAATATTTTCTTTCTCAGGCCTTGTGACATTTCTTTTCCATGTGGTGCCATTGCTGAGAGCATGAAATGGGAAGGGGTTCTCTTTGTTAATTACCGCCCTTTTATACTCAACTGTCTGCCTGACACCTGTAGTTGAATTCATGTTAATTAGAATTTTGTTCTCTAAAATTTAGCTTTGCTTCTAAGACTTTCATTTTTGTCTTGAATGAATGACAATGACTGTCCCAACATGACAATGATCCAAAACACACATCTAAGGCCACTGTTGCATTTCTGAAGAAGAACAGTGATTCAGTGGCCAAGAATGTCTCCTTAGGAAAAATACTTTTTTGTGTGTGCAATTAAAAAATCTTGTTTGCAATCAATGACCCACATTTGTGGGAGTATTTTGCTGTATAATGTGCCATAGAAAATGTTGATTCTGAAAGAAAAATAAAGGTTTTCTGACAAATCTGTTGGGGTGTACTCATATATGCTGAGCAGTTTAATTTAACTGGAACAGCAAATACTCTGTTAGCTAAACAATACAGTGCGTAAACTAAAATCTAAGCAATTGATATCACTGTCTTACTGATATGATGTAACAGATTTGATATTTGTAATCCCTAGGTGTTCCAGTGAAAACAACTGTTTTACCTACTTCCTCAAAACCAATAAAGACAAGTTTGACACCAACCATTTCTACAAAAGAAATATATCAGACAGAGACTGAACCATATCAGACAGATTTTTCAGATACATCACCCTATTCTACAACAGCTACAACTGTTGGTCCAACAAACACAACTTATGCAGCACATACAGCTTCATCAGGTCTGCGCACTTCTACGGCGTATGAATCATCTCCTGACCTGCTTACTAGCGAATATGACAAATTGACTCAAAGTACTTCTCGTCCTGAAATACAACATTTGACAACACAGAACATGAGCCTGGGAACAAGCATAGACTCTTTAATAACTTCAATAACAACCACCTCTTCTTCAAGTTCACTTCTAACATCACCTCATGCTGCCACTTCATTTGTAACATATAAAACACTACCTCCAAAAGAAGCTGTTGACACAACAAAAACCCCAACACGAATGTTGGGTCAATCTTCTCAGGGCCTTTACCAGTTGACAACAAAATCAGTCACTGCAACTCCATATACTTCCATGATGGAACTGATTACTTTGTCCTCAGCCACAGATGTATCAAGATATCCAATTCTGTTAAATGTAACATCTACCATTGAAACAAGTACATCTTCAGTTACACCACCTGTATCGTTGACTCCATCTGTGGCCACTACAATTTTAGCTTCATCTTTATATGCCCCTCTTTCCTTCAGTACAACTAGCTCTAAAGTATTAAGCAGTCAGTATTCGCACACAACATCTCAGGTCAGTACTGATAAAAAGGTAACCAGCATTCCTCCACACACATCACATATATTGCCACATACAACCTTACTAAATGGAACTGTGTCTACTCTAGAAACACACATAAACCTTACTGAAAGTTCAAGAACTGCATTAACCACCTCATCTATTTATTTGCCTCCACTGACCACCCTGTTAACTACAACTTCCATGGCACCTTCAACATCTCATGTTGATCTGCAACAAACAACCAAAACTGTAGTTCAGACCAAAATGAAAGAAGTAATGTCTACTTTGTCTCCAACTTCTGTGTCTTCCACAATGCCAGTGGTTGTATCTACGATTAAACCTTCCTTTAGTTCATCTACATCATCTACACTAAACCTACTAACATCTGTGCAAACCTCCAAAATAATTCCAAAAATTACACCTCTGCAAAGTACCTCTTCTACTACAACTGTACTGCTCACTTTGGAGACCACATTAGCACCAAAATTGACAACAGCATATGAAACAAAAGACCTAATTAAGACTACAGCTAAGCAGACATCCTTGCTAACTACCAATGCAACGCTTATTCAGACCCCACCTGTGACTTTAAGTACTAAAAAATTTCCCAAGAGTACTGAAGCCCCTCTTAAAATACTAACAACTCTCAGAGAACATTTAGGTACTAGCACATCTACAACAGAAGGTACAACTCATGAATTTGGAAGTAAATCTACAGAAAGTATCCTTTCTACGTATCATATTATTCCAACAAGTTCAGCTCTGAAACCTACAAAACAAGAAACTATGGTGGATACTTTTTCGACACACTCAACCAAAACATATTCCTCAGTGTCCAAAGAGAGTTTACTTACAACTTCATATTCATCTCCAACTTTTGAAACTTCAACACACATTTCTCCTGTGCCATTAGAAATAACAGATTCAATTACAAGTATCAGTTCCACAGCCAAATCTTCTGTGCCTTCAAAAATAACAAATACAAGTATCAGTTCCACAGATACATCTTCTTCTGTGCCTTCAGAAATAGCAGACACCACTACAAGTAAGTCTACAGTGCTTGTTACTACTGTTAAGCATTTGGAGATACCATTTACAATGATGCCAACCACTACAGAAGCCACTCCTGCATCTTCCACATTTTCTGCTGTGAGTGAAACAACATCTGAAGCTGTGACTCTGAATAAAACTAGCATAGAACCAACTTTCAACACTACACATAGCTTGCTGACTACTGAAAAAGAAAAGTTAGACTCTTACACAATGAAAAGCATCAGCACTATTACCAAACAAATGCATACCTCATCCATTAGTAATAAAAGTGAAATCTCCACACTTCAGCCAACAGAAATTCTGGAATCCTTGAACTTTACGGAACCAACAAAATTTCCAATGCCCCAAAATGTAACATATGAATTGTTTTATTCAATATCATCTTCTACTTCCAAGCCACTGATATCTGCTACGGCTACTGAGTTAATAACAAATGTTACAGCATCATCAGACTACTACTCATTTGGAACAATGTTGCAAACAAGCAGCTCTTCAGAATGTATGGTATGTAATGTATCTTAATTCTTAATATGACCCTGTATTTTGCATGAACTAAACAAAGTAACAGATTCACTTGAAAGTAAGCACCTCAAGGTGTCAATATGTATCTCCCTGACACGCAAACCTGCAGTGCAACCCCCAATAATTTTTGTGTACATTTTGACTTGATCTGAGCTATTAGCAGTGACAGTGATTGAGTGTGGTGACTGGCCAATAAGTCACCAAGCACTACAATATTGCAAGAAGTGAGAAGGGCTCCATTTTTCCTATAACTGGTGTTGCTTGGTTTTTGAAAAGCTGTAGCAGCAGGGAATCAAAAGTAAGGGTCGTCTTCAGGGGCGGACTGACAACTCATAGGGCCCCTGGGCAATAGGGGATCATGGGGCCCCTGTGTCCTTGCCCAAACTCAAAAAAGCCTATAAAAAAGGTACCGGGGGCATCGCATGGGGCCCCCTGCTGACCCCGGGCCCTCAGGCAGTGCCCGAGTTTCCAAATGGTCAGTCCGCCCCTGGTGGTCTTATATCTTAGTGGTGCAAACATACATTTTGAGTGTCTGTCACTATTTTGTCTAATTGTCCAGGCATATAGAAGTGCTAAGAGATCCTCGGAGTCTTCAACTCTGGTTTTAGAAACTTAAATACAAGTTGTCCATTTGCCCAACTACCAGTGCCTTTTATTCAGTAGCACTAAAATAAAAAAAATAATTTCTGTACCAGTTCATGTTCTACACTGATCCACCTTCACATCTAGGATAATTGTTTTAAGCTTTGCCTTTATTCACCTACGTACATATATTATACAATTGAATAATACAATAGACAAACAAAACTGTATCATTGCTATTTAATTATCTATTGCATATGCAAAATAGTATGGCAATCAATTCTAGCATTAGCCTACATTAAAGGTCTACAGCAAGGGCAACCCTTTGTATCAATTTACAAGCATTAAAAAGCTGGCATGCTAGTTAACAACAGCATGCCATAGTTGTATTTTTTTTTTTTCGTTTGTTATTTTCAATTCTTTGCACTCAATAGTTGTACTGCCAAAGGTAAACTCGTTAATTATCATTATAATAACAGGTGCACACTCAAAACATGTTCATATTTACCATTTTTGTGTATTGAACATTAAACTGGACTTACAATTTTAGTATGATCCCTGTCTTTCACAGCCTAGTTGTGCTATGTCTGTCCTGTAAGCACACATGCTTCTAAATTATTTTTTGTAGGTCAGCTTCAAGATAGACTTAACACTATCTACATGTGTGATAAAAAATGTTTTGCACATATATGTGGATCATAAATGCATGCATATGTGGCTGTACTTGCCATCTAGTGGCTGTGCGGTACCTAGAGATGCCAGGTTTCATCCATTTTGGCATGCCTCAGATTAGCCTGTGCCCTAAAATGAAGTGTGTCTTTTATTGAAAATTCAAACTTGATAAACCGTTGTGCAAATATCATGTGACATATACATTGGAACTACCACTCTTTTATTCTCCAGGGTGTCTGCTTTCAAAATATATATTATGTTTTGTGATTTTAACTAATCTTCAGCCCTAAAATGATTTTTTGTTATTAAAAGGGTTTAAGTGTTAAAAGCCTACTTAGATTTTCTTCCCTCCCAAAGCTCTTTGAAGCCCGTGGACTCCAGAACACAATTCAGGAATTACAAAGCATACAGAAAACCAAAAACCCAATTTTAT